TGAACAAGTTTTTTACTGCTTTTATAGAGAATATATGATAAACTAAATGATACTTTTATTATATGATAATTCTGTTTACTTTCTGCGTCAACCAAATAATCTCTCCAATAGCTTAAGACTTCATTTTCTTGATTTTGTTTGTTGGTTCTTCTTCACTCACTTTCACTTTCAGTGTGTTTGATATTGTGGTACATCAACACTTCTTTAAATGAATTAAGGTTTTTACGAACACCTTCTAGAACACCAAGGGTGTTGAAACCATCCTTAAACCTGTCAATACACAATGTTATGTGAAAAACAAATTTTAGAATCAAGACATAAATGCCACATTCCATGTCTTAATGCTAACGACACATGAGACAGGATTGCCGTTTGAAGTGGGGGAAGTGAATGTCACACTAGGCTTCGTCACGTGTCACCTCATTGTGATCCTCAAAACCACTGAGTGTCATTATGAGGTGGCGACGCATGCTACCCGAGTGACACCTGCCGACACAGTGGCTCTGCATCAGGCGTCGTAGCGGCCGACCCCATGACAGGAGACCTAGATATATTTGACTCATGTCATGGTAAGGGCAATGTCGTACCTGACCAGAGCCAGCATGCTCTGTGTGGCATTTCCCCCAAATTAGAGAGGAGGTGGTGGAATTGAACAATTCGCATGATGTGGTGAGGCAAGCATCGCTTGTTCAAGAATGTGGAGAGTCTGCATGGGATAAAGGCACATGGTTACAGAGCAGGAATTACAATATAGTAAAATTACAAAATTACGAAGAAAAATTGCGAGTGAATAACAATTAAAACAAAAGATCTATAATGTCGATCGGAGACGATTGGTAAATGTAAAAATGACTAGTGTGGATTGCAAGTGAAATACAAGCAGAGCCAGCAAAAGAATAGAATGTCTTAATAGCATTGTTTGAAAAACATTGTGAGTTGGTTGGCTTAGTTCTGAGGTTCGGCTTGGTTGGCGAGGATCCTTGGCACTGCATGAAGGGTTGTGGCTGGAGTCTTAATGTAGAGCTGGTATGAGTCACTGCGCCATCGTCCAAGGGTCTTGATGAGCCAGTCGGGAAGGTTGGCCTCGGCGGCTGTTGTGGCGGCTCCAGCACGAAAGCTGTGTGATGAGTATTTCTCTGCACTCGGGATCCCTGCTTGCATGAGGAGGGTTCTGATTGAGTCGGTGACGGTTTGACGTGTTAGATATGAGCCGTTGGTAAACTGGAATGCTAGTGCATGCTGGGTGAATGTGGTACATGCGCAAACCGAGGAGCCAGATGAGGCTATGGTCAGTGTGTGGCCACGCCGAAATGGATCATTTTTGGCTGCCTTGATGGTGACGGTGATTGCACTACCAAGATTAACATCGGATCGGAGAAGCGTGCATTCAAGGTCAAAGGTTGTTTTCGTCGGAGAGGCAAATTCGCTCACTCGAAGAAACCCGAAGAAGGCCATGGTGAATGCGGCCCATAACATCAGTATGTCTGTTACATCCATATTGATGCAGCAGCGCAACTGATTTTTTAGTGTTCTCATTAATTGAATGGTTATCCGTAATCGTGTAGCCGTAGGGTCACCAATTTGTTTCTTGATGCCTTGGAGTGTGCGAAGCAGTAGATGATCCTCTGGAAACTCTGGGTAGCCCATCTCTGTGTGCTGTCGTAGGATGGCGGCGAGGTATACTTTGATTGTTTTATACGTCAATGAGAGCGATGCTAGGTGTGTGACGAAGAGGATGGCAGAGCGGTGTGTGACTGGTAGCGGGGCGAGACCGTAGTTGTGACAGAAGTTATACATCAGTAACCTCCATGAGTACATGAATGAAACTGGACCAGGCACACCAGAGAAATGTTGCAATTTTGTGAATTTTAAGTGTTTTTCATGAATATGGTTGACAAACAGTTACACTTGCTCAAATAAACAATCAAAATTGACCAAAATTGACCAGAGGGGATTACGCACCCTATTAATATATGGCATTCATATCTAGAAATTTGTGTTGGGTGATTATTAATTCCTGTTGGGTAGTATTAGTGTCGGCTAGCTTAACACTAATGCACTTTGAGGTGTGACTTTAGTCAGTTATAAACAATGAAAGACATAGTCAGATTATCATCTTGAATTGAGAGAAATAAATGCATGTGCATATGGAGAAGAGAATAGAATGGAATGGAATGGAATGGAATAGAATGGAATAGAATAGAATAGAATAGAATAGAATAGAATAGAATAGAATAGAATAGAATAGATAGATAGATAGAATAGATAGAATAGATAGAATAGATAGATAGAATAGATAGATAGATAGATAGAATAGATAGAATAGATAGATAGATAGAATAGATAGAATAGATAGATAGATTTATTTCACCAGAAAATTGTACAGGAACTT